TGTGTTCTTGCCTTTCTCACTTTCAGTACCAATAGCTTATTAGCATCAGGATGTATTTCTGAGCCACAAAAATCAATGTAGCAGTGATAATGTAGTTATAACAGTCCTTCACAGCTAGTAAGTGTCAAGTGTTTGGTCTAAGGTCAAATTTGAACTCTGGTCCTCCTGACTTCAGGGCCGGTGCTCTATTCACTGCACCACCTAGCTGCCCCATCCGTGGCTTTTTAAAACTAAGAAAATACCACAGATGTTTTTTAGGGGGTGGGCTATTATTTACTCTGATCTTTTTATCTTACAGATGAATAAATTGAGAAACTTCACCTGACTTGCTTAACCTCACACCAATAGTTAGTGGAAGAACCAGGTTCTATCTGAGGTCTTCTAAATCTCAATCTAACATGTGTGCCTTTATCATATTGTCTTTGTATTAGACATTCTCATTAATTCTCTGTGTCTCTCTCTGTCTGTCTTTCTCACTCTCACTCTCTCTTCCTCACTCTCTCATATCCTCTTTATGAATTCCGTGAATGATTTTCCCAATTCTTTTATTCTGATGCTTGTCTAAAGAAAATACAATAGGGTATTAAGTCTTTTTTTTTTGAAGTTAAAAAATGCTAGCTGAAGTTTCATTCTACAACAGCTGATGGAAAGTTCCATGCTAGAGTAATAACTTCCTAAAATCTAAAATCCAGTATGGAATATCTTTCTCTTCTCCCTCTAATACAGATTAGAGCATAGGGAAACAATGATCAGGCAATGCATTGATGAGATAAACTTCTAGTAAATGTGTTCTGAATTTTCTGGTGAATCAATGAGGGCAACTCATGGAGGAGAACCCTAATAACCTCCCAACTGAGTATTGGAGCTTAGGGAATATTTCTAGTTTGTTTAATTTAGTGCTAATATGAAAAATAGGGCTCAACCTTCCAGGAAAAGATAAAATTCCTCATTTTTATTACTTGCCAACAGACATTTTCTTTTTGGTTTGGTTAGGAGTAATTTTGTTTTCCCCATGTCTCAATCCAAAACTTAAAAGCTCTTTTGTCAGACATACTGAATATTTAGAAATCCTCTACTATGGATTTGAATAATTTAGAATGATCCACATTTTGAGCTCAAAAATCAAAAGATCTAGCTGCTTAGAATAAATTTCCATTTACAAAAACAGATATAGTCTTCAAGTTCTGGACACTGATCAGCTGGGTATTGGATTTCTCTTTGGTGTTGCCAATCTTCATTCCATGAAAATTAAGGTTATAATGCACTTTAAACTTTTTGAAGAGTTTTTGTATGAATTAGTACACCATATTCTGACTATAACCCTATGATGTATTGTCATTTCCATTTCATAGATTCAGAAACTGAACCAGACAGGGATTCAATGTCAAGGAAATTAATCATCTGTATTAGTGGGGTTATGTTTGTAATATTGTGTTAACCCTTAATGCTACTTTTAGAAGAATGGTAATAAAATGGAATCTGTCTGGATGAATGGAATGAGAATGATGAGGAACCTGGAAGCTACCATCTCAATATGAGGGATTGTTGGAAAAAAGCAAGAGTTGTTGAGTGTGGGTAGGAAAAGACAAAGGGAAGAGACATCGTGGTTTTCCACAGATGTTGAAAGGACTATTATGTAGAAGAGATAGCTAGGATTCATGGCCGCAAAGTGAAAAGTATAAGGTAGAGGTCACTTCCCAAGAAATCAGGGAATGGCCAATAAAAATCAGGTAGTAAGTTTGTAGAAAGCAAAAAAGGATATTTAATAGAATCTGCCTTTTTTAATGAAGATCTCTCTGGATTTGGTACAACCAAAGAAGTGTTTCTAGTAAGTAAATGTTTGGAGCTATGACGTAGTCTGTGTCTTCTGGTAACTGAATGTTAATTATCAAACAGCAAGGCCTTCTTTTTACTTCTTCCTTTCCCTATTCAATTCCTTGATCTCTATAATCCTGTATAAGCAACTTTCAAACCATACTCTTCTGTAATCGTGCTTATCAAGCATGAGTCTATAAGAAATTATCCTTTACCTAGGGAATATGAATTAAGTGTTATGCATGTATTGGCCCCTGGTTAGTTCCCCTAGATAGAGGCATCTAAGTGGCACAGTAAATTGATCACTGGGTCCAGAGTAAGGAAGATTTGAGTTCAAATCCAGCCTAAGATACTTAACTAACTCTGTGACCTTGGGCAGGTTATTTAACCTCTTTCTCAGTCTCCTCGAACTATAAAATGGGGATGATAATACCTAACACCCACTTCCCAGGGTTGTTGTGAGCATTTCAAATGAATTAATATTTCTGAAGCATTTAGCACAGTGCATTGTGTGTGGTAGGTAGTTAATAAATGCTTCCTTCCTTCCTTCCTTCCTTCCTTCCTTCCTTCCTTCCTTCCTT